CCACCCCTAGAGGGACAGTGTTAGCAGCCACCTACAAGTAGGATGGACAGAGGGAAGACACTCAAGCTGAATGAGGGTGGGAGGCTAATGGAACTACTACCTTGAACTTGGGGGACTTCAAAGACTTCACTGGGAAAAAATCCATTATTTCATTCCCCCACAAACTTTTTGAAGTCCTTTCATAAATATATGTGTTGGGCTGTGATCCGCAAGGTCAGCAGTTCGAAACCAGCAGCTGCTCTGAGAGGGAAGACTGAACTTTATACTCGTAAACAGTTATAGTCTTGGAAACCTGTAGGGTCGTTATGAGTTGGCATCTCCTCGATGACAGTGAGGTGTTCTGTTTTTCTTTTGTCATATATATAGGCTTGACAGGATATTTCTCCATATGTGTTTATATGTGCTATAAATATACCCAGGAATATAGTAGAACATCCAAGGGGCACAGTTATGAAAACTTTTTAGCCATAACCAATTACCCTGAGGAAATGAATGGATCGCTGGGCTGCAGCCTCAGGACCAGAGTCTCAGGTGTCACCTGAGTCAATTGGCTTACCAGAGTCCACAAAGACAGTGCTATACACCCTGCTTTGGTGAGTAGGACTGGGTGCTAAAAGTTAGTGAGGGGCCGTGTAAGATCCAACTGTTGACTTCCAGAGGAACCATTGACCATGGAGCGCAAAGAAGAAGGAAGAAAAATAAAAAACCAAAGTCTCAAGGAAACAAAGGATGGATGAAACTGGAGAATTAGATGGTGGCTGGCTCTCACTGCTGACCCCTCTGGAAGGGATCAGAATAAGACCTCGAGGTAAAGTGGAGAAATCTGAGAATAACACTGCATTAAAAACAGGGACCGGGCACACTGGTCTGATAGAGACTGGTAGAACTCCTGAGTGGCCCTTAGACACACCCTAGGCCTGGAACGGAACGCAGCCACAGGAGATCAAAAAGGTGGCATTTACCCAGGCTTGAAACTCAGAAGGCAAGACATAAGATAAGGACAGACAAGGGGAAATGGTGGGAAGGGCGCTGTTAAGTTGTGGGGTTGCAGTCAGTATCACAAAAGAAAATGTATATGAAAGGTTGAATGAAAAGCCAATATGCTCTGTAAATTTTAACTCAACTTACAATTAAGAAAACAACAGTCACAAAAAACACATTTCCCCAACCTTTTAAAGTAGTTCAAAATCTCCGTTAATAAAACTCTGGAGGAAAAAAGTCCATATTTAGAGGGATTACAGAGTGATTTTGGATTGTTCAAGCCCTTAAATGGGCCAGGGGTCTGTCTCTGGAAGACTGAATGGCTGCTGCTTGACACACTGGTGATCAGCTCCAGGGGAACAGGCCACAGAGCGGCTTCGTGGTCTCCCCAGATAGTAGTTCCCCAGGGTCTTATGGTGAAGGGGCTCCCCAAGGCGGCCCAGTCCTAAGCATAGGTGGAGTGCTGTGTAAGAGCACATGCTTGGTGAACTCCAGTTCAGCTGCAGTAGAATTGTAATAAGACCAATGATGACTTGACGGTGACAAAAGTAGGTAGAAAAAACATGTCTCTTCCCCAGGTTAATTTTATAAATCAGCATTGAGCTATACCAATGCCTTAGTATAGAAACTCTGTCACCTAATTAAGGTTTTAGTTATATTAGAATTATATGAGATTCTGAATTTCATTCAAAAGAGAAAACAAAATGGAACCGTTCTATTGTGTTTATATTATTTCATTAAGCCTTCTGATACTCAGCCCAGGAGATTCAGATTTGAAAGCTAACAAAAATTATCTAGGTGGCAATACGCATTTAATTTAGAAACAGAAGATACCTCGTTCTTTGTATGACTGCTACTACTAAATCTTCATGGCAGGATTTTACACACACGTACACCTTTTTTTACTGTGAATCAGTACATTCGAGAGAAATTAAAAGCTGTAAATTTAAGTTTCATTATGTGATTAAGCCTTAATAGTGTAATCTTTTCATTTGGGATCACTTTAGCAAGAAGTACTTGGATCAAAGCACAAAACTTTACATCCGACTGATTCTCTATTATTAACACCCTTCTACTGGACAAGTAGAAAGAACTTGAACAACTATAACATCATTCCATACTGGCTCTTGTTAGGAGCGATCAGGTCAGTCCCAGCCCATAGCACTCGCACAACAGAATGCAGCTCTGCTCAGCCCTGGCCGTCCTCACAGCTAGCTCCGTGCTGTGTCAGTCCACGTCATTGTCTTCTCGTTTTCACAGAACCTCCGTTTTACCAAACCTAATATCCTTCCTCCGGAACTGGTCCCTCGATAACATGTCCCACGTATGTAAAATGAAGTCTCACCATCCTCACTATTCTAAGTAGCATTCCAACGGTTGGAAGTCTTCCAGGACAGATGTGTTCATTCTTGTGGCACTCCGTGGTGTATTTATTATTCTTCACAAACACCATGATCCAGAGTCAGCCATTCTTCTTCCTTCTTCCTGATTAAATGAGGCCATTGAAAATAACCTGGTTTGGGTTAAGTGCACCTTAGTTCTCAAAGTATCATCTTGAAAGAGGTCTTTTGCAGCAAACTTACCCAATGCCATTTATCATTTAATTTCTTGACTGTGCCCATAGCCACTGATTGTGGATCCAAGTAACATGAAATCCTTGACACTTTCACTATTTTGCTGATTGCATTATAATTGCAGTACTATTGCAGTGGTTCTCAACCTTCCTAATGCCGCGACTCTTTAATACAGTTCCTCATGTGGTGGTGACCCCCCCAACCATAAAATTATTTTTGTTGCTACTTTATAACTGTAATTTTGCTATTGTTATGGATCGGACAACCCCTGTGAAAGGGTCATTCAACCCCCAAAGGGTTTGCAACCCACAGATTGAGAACTGCTGCACTAGTGTGTGTTGGTATAGTTGTGGGGATGTTTTTGTCTGTGTTGAGAGTAATCCATACTGAAGGCATGTTCTTACTATGGGTGTTATAATGGAGAAAGATATAAGTTACATTCTTTACAAAAGACCCAAACTCTCTGCCATGGTCAGTGCCAACCCAGAGCGGCCCTAGAGGACAGGGTGGCACGCTCCTGTGGATTTTCTGAGAGTCCCGTAGAAAAACCCACCTTTCAGACTGCCGACCTTGTAGCCTGACATGTAACTACCACACCACTAGGCCTCCTGGCTACAGAAGACTAGAAAATGCCAGTAACCAGCATTCTCCCCAGGACACTCCATCTTAGACCCCTGTTTAGGTCTCTACTGTGATCTATGGTCATTGATAACAAAGAAACAACTTATTCCTAGACACTGTTTAGTTGATGGCGGTGTTACATATGCAATGTAAGAGTTTTTGCATTCTTTTGAAAACTGTTATTAGAGATATGGGCAAGGTGATAAACTTGAGTAAATGCTGACAGGTGTTACCCACCTTTAGAGGATGTGTTCGAGATAGTCTGACTTAAAAACAGCGCGGTCGTCCAGCTGGCTTTGTCTGTGCCGCAGACGTCGCACATGGATGTGGTAATCTTCAGAAAAAAGGAAGGGCCTCGCTTCAATGTTGGGCCAGTCTGTCAAGGAACCAGCTGCAATGTGGTTCTGACAGCCGTGGGACAGGTACTCCGTGAAGCTCCGGAGGCCCCATCGGAGACTATTTGCTACTGTCCCGGGCCCCGGCGGTCACTAGATTGTGAGCAGCCGCTCCTGTGAAAGTCGGAACATAACCTGATGTGGTTACTGGCCATCTTTTAACCTGCACTCACGTAAATGATCTGACATTGCCATCTCGAGCCCATCCCCTCGCCACTCCTCTGACAGCTGACGGCTTAGCAAATTCCCAAGGATGATTGCCGTATATACTCGAGGATAAGCCAAACCGAGTATCAGCGGAGGCATGTAATTTTACCACAAAACTGCATTAAAAGTGTGCTGAAGAACCTCGGCTTATACTCAAGTACATACAGTATGTACTATCGTAAAGAAAAATCGGTTCCTGTAACGAGGGCTGCAGCAGAGTGCCCGGCCTGAGTCAGTCCTTTCTCTTCTCACCTATTGATGAACACTGGGGCAGTGTAAGGAAGGCCTGGAAAGTAGGGAATAGTGTTGCTTTGTAGGTATTTTACAAGGGCTTGCAAGACTTTGATGCGAACATAAAACTCAAGCGCTTACCTCTATACCTGGTATTTACTTCTTGCTGTTATTATTATTCTGTTTATCCTTATCAACTCACTGCCATCAGCCAGTGCTGACTCCGAGCAACCCCGTGTGGGTTTCCGAGACTGTTTGCAGAGGTAGAAAGCCCTGGCTTCTTCCTGCAGACCTGCTGCTGGTTTCTAACTGCTGACCACATAGATTGTAGCTCAACACATAACCACTACATTAGGGCACCTTCATTTACCATCGAATATAATACCATTTGTATTCTAATATTTATCACTATCGACTAAAATATTGTTTTCATGGTAACTCCTAAAAAATTCGGCAGATTCGTTGGCTGCAAATATGTGCTTTGGTTTCAGGTTTGCTTCCTGTACTGTGGTGTTCTCGGTGCTCACTGTACTTACTGCCCAAGCAAGCACATGACTTACAGCTTGCAGGATGAGCAGTCTGCTGAGACTTAAATGCTAACCGACGCAGTTGGCAGTTTGAGCCTACTCAGTGGTCCTGCAGGAGAAACCGGGCAGTCTGCTTCTGTAAAAGCTACAGGCAGGAAAACCCATCCACGGGGGCAGCTCTACTCTGTCGCATGGGATCACTGTGCCTCTGAATCACCTGGAAGACCCCTAACGACGAAAACATCCAGTGGATTCTAGTGTTTCCCTTCTCATAATAATCATGGAGTCACTGTATGCTTACCTGGGTGTTACCCTTGATTAAACAAAAAAGATTTTTTTTTCCTCATAAAAGATTTGTTTGAAAGTTACATTAACAGGAATGATATGTGGAATTAAAAGTATAATTTATTGAATTTTTTAAATTTTTAAAATAGAATAATAGAACCACATTCTTTTCTCTTCAACAGATGGGCTTAGGTCACGAGCAAGGATTTGGAGCCCCCTGCTTAAAATGCAAAGATAAATGTGAAGGATTCGAACTGCACTTCTGGAGGTAATGTTTTGCAAACGATGCCCGCCTGGGTGACTTTACAAGGTTTGGGATGCTTCCTCGCGGGGACTGCACACCAGTTCTCCCGCAGACTCGATAAGCTGCAGCTCTGTTCTTTGCTTCTCTGACAAGAGAATAGGGAGCATAGCCTTCCTGGCCGCCCGTCCTGACGTTTGCCCGCGCTGATTGGACCATAAGAACTGTAGTTAGAAGAGTTGGATTTATATGCTGCCTTTTGGGTTTCCTGTGGTTCCAGAATATGGATTATGCCTCTCTTCTGAGAGCCAAAAAGTTTATGATAACTCTCCCGGGCAGTCTATAACAAGTGGAATTTAGGTCTCTTCAAAAGTTTCTGCTGTGACATTACTAATTAAAGGCTCTGAATCTCCAGATTTAGACAATCATAGTAACGGTGGCAAATAGTCACTCATCCCTTGGTTTGTATCAAGTGCATCTGTAGGGAAGACCTGCATTAATGGATCAAAATGAATTTTGAATACTGTTTGCATGTTTTTTTCAAGTTAATTTTGTGTATCATGTTGATCTAAAATCAGTATTTGAAACGATTTTTTATAAAGAAAATTCTTTTATCAGTGGCTGTCAAAATCATAGCTAGTTTGTAAGTTTTCTCAGAGTTAGAATCAGCATATTATTGATAGAAGGAAGAAAAGTAAAGATGATCGGCCATACAATATAATGGTAGTTGTATGGGAGAATAAATTTCATTTGAAGGCCATTTCTATGTATACTTCTTATTTCTCTAGGAAACTCTAGGCTGAAACATTTTATTGTGACTGTATACAGTCAATGGCAGTAAGTCAAACTTGGACTTGTAGGCTCTTTGAAAAGCTCATTTATTTAGTAGGCTTTTATACACTAAGACAGTTGTTTGAAATAGCGAAGGCAGCAGAAACCTCAGTCCTCCAGAAAGTGAGGACGCTGTGCATTGGTGGTTATTCTAGGGAGCCCACATTTCCCTGGGCATTTTTGTAAATTGCAAGACTTAACTAGCCCTTCCTCATGCTCCCTTCTCCAAGGATCTATCAGTTGGGCAGTATGTCCTGCTTTGCAAGGACAATAGCACTAAAGACAGAATAGCTCTCGTGGATTGCCCTGGTGTGCTCAGCTCCTAGCCTTCCTAGTTGGCTTTTGGGGAACTTCACTGCCCTCTACTGGGTATAGTTAGTACTTGACAGTTCTTGGATGGATAAAATTCCTTTTTAATTCAGATATTCATTGCCAGTGATTGCTAATGGAGGTGTTTAAATCTCATTAGCAAGAGTTATCATTTTCTTTCTAAAATAAAGGTCAGTTTATCATAATTTTTTGTTTTATCTCATTTTCTATTATAGATCCCTATTGTCTCTTATTTTCAGATAAGACTATATCAAGATCTTTGTGGTATGAAAATTGCTTGCTTTCTTTTAAGTTTTGGCACATAGAATAATTTATTCTCCTGGATATGTCGTCTGAGACTCGACTAAGGACCATAAGCAATGAGGGCATTGGACATGGTCTCTAATCTTAACAGTTTCCACAGTCTGTCCAGTGAATATTTCTTAGAAGTTTTATCTTTCTGACATGAACTCAGGTGCATTTCTCTCTTGAGTTAACCTCTTGATAATTCTCTGACAACCCTAGAAGGCCTGAGTCACACAGACTTTGACCTCCAGTGTAGGCATTGCTCAGGATACTCTTTTTTTTTTTTTAATAATCGATTTATTAGGGGCTCATACAACTCTTGTCACAATCCATACATACATCAATTGTGTAAAGCATATTTGTACATTCATTGCCCTCATCATTCTCAAAACATTTGCTCTCCACTTAAGCTCAAGCCCCTGGCATCAGGTCCTCATTTTTTCCCCTCCCTCCCTCCCTACTGCCCCCTCTCATGAACCCTTGATAATTTATAAATTATTATTTTGACATAGCTTGCCTTGTCCGACGTCTCCCTTCACCCACTTTTCAGTTGCCCATCCCCCAGGGAGGAGGTCACATGTAGATCCTCGTAATCGGTTCCTCCTTTCCAACCCACCCTCTCCTATACCCTCTCAGTATCGCCCCTCACACCACTGGTCCTGAAGGGATCATCTG